CTATAAACCACAACAAAACGTGGCAGCCACCCAGTTAGATCCCCCCTCAAAAATTTTTTAAATTTCATCCAGCGGGGGGAATCGAACGCCGATTAACTGCTTGAAAGGCGGAATGCTTACAACTATGCTACCATATACTCAAGCATTTAGTAGAAATGAATTTATATAATAATAATGAGAAGTTGAGTGTTACACAACCAAATGTGGCCAATCAACTAAAAACAAATCCGGGCAGGCACAGAAATAACTAATGAAATGATCGTTGCTGGAGCTACATCGTTCATAGCTTGTGCAACACTCATACATAAAAACACGTGCAGAGTCTAAGGTAACGTTGTGTGAAAATTTGAAAGCGATCAGTAAAGAAATGTCAGAGACGGATCATGTCTGAAATAATGATTTGACCATTGCTAGAACTACGGCGTTCGTGTGTTGTGCGATTTTCTGACAGAAAACACACATTGAGTCAAACGTTGTGTGAAATTTTGAAAACAATCAGTTCAGTAGTTTAGCAGTCTCTAGGTAACGACAAGGGAAAATTAACATTTTTATTTATATATATATATATATATATATATATATGTATATGGTGTTATTTTAGGAAAAGTACAGAAATTTAAGTATCTGGGCATATGGATAACATCAGATGGGAGATGCATATATGAGATAAGAAATAGAATAGCACAGGCAAAACTGAATTTTATAAAATGAAAAACATCTTGTGCAATATATCCTTGTCATTGAGAGTTAAAAAAAAAATTCTTGCTTGCTACATACATCCAGTTTTAACATATGGCTGTGAATCCTGGACAATCGGTAGGCAGGCCAAACAATTTATGGAGGCCTCAGAGATGTGGTTTTACAGAAGAATGCTTAGAATACCTTGGACAGCCAAAAAGAGCAACCAAGAGGTTTTGAAAAAGGCGGGAGCCCGAAAACAACTTATCACAGACATCAGAAGGAGACAGTCATCATTTTTCGGCCATGTTATGAGAAGAGGGAAAATAGAACATGTTGTGACCACTGGAAAGATATGTGGAAGGAGAGATAGAGGAAGACAACGAGAGAAGATGCTTGACAGTCTTGTTGCATGGCATGGAGGTGTGTCGGCACACGAACTGATACATACTGCAGGAGATCGCAGATTATGGAGACCCATGATCACCCACGCCAGTCGGCAAGGCACCTGATGATGATGATGATAAATATATAACAACTCTTTAAGGCCCAAGCAACTGTGTGAGCGTTGTTTGAGAAGTTCTGTTTTGCCCAAACAACGGTGTCATCGTTGGTCGTGTGTCCCGTACATTTTGCTTCGCACACGCCCCCTAACTAGTTTCTAATGTTCAGAGGTACGATTAAACTATTCAGGGAAAGTAACTCTGCCGAAATCCTTTTAGTTTCATTTCCTAGCTTAATCCAAACACATGCGTATTTTGATAGAACTAACAGCGAAATATTTTTCAACAGTGAATTTTCTAAGTTCGTTTTTGAGTGCCATAAATACCAATGTTCCAACCACAAGTACAGGTCGCAGAATGCGTCTTTCTGCGGCAGAAGCTCTGAAATTGTTTCATTCAGATGTTTTTAATTGTGATAATGATAATACAAATTTAGATTTTTGAAAGAGTGATTCGGACGGCGAAGCTGAGCGATCAGCAGTTCGTAATCTAGCGATTCTGATGAGTTTATTACACAGACAATGTCCCATGCTACCGTATTTATGGTGTAAGAGAAGGAAAGTGCTCTAAATAAATAGATTGTACTATACTATGGCTAAGCTACATTGAAATCATCGCAGCTGCAGTCTGTAAATAACTGTACAAAGTAAACATTAAATAGTGTGTGTAATGGCTCATTTTTCTGCCATTTTCCTCTGAAATTTTGCTCAGCACTCTTTGAGAACTAAGAGCTCCTTAGTGCTAAGCTAACCCAGAAAGTTATCATAACTTTGGAATTTGTTAGGAAATTGAACAGACTTTGAAGTTTTGTTCTCAAATTTGGATATTTATTACTCTTGTGGCTGCAAAACCATGGTAAGAGAAGAATTTGTTTGTGAAATGTTGTCCTTGTGAAATTATTACCTGCTGAATTCTTCTTTCCTACTAACTATAACAAAATTAAACAAACACTTATCATCAGATTCAAAATGTACACTCATTTCTCTTTTTAAAATATATACTTTTATAGGGATTAGAAGTATATTACATTCTCTGTAGCCTTTCTTGTACACCCGCCCCTCTGCCATTTTTGTAAAGGCAAATTAATGTGGGCCAAGTCTTGTCAAAATCCATGGTGCTGAAAGAGTTAATGAATAATAAACTACAGTGGTTGGAATAGCTTGCTACACACAGATTAATACAAAACACAGTAGAATGTTCCGGTTGCATATTTCCAATGTCGTTAGTTCGCGGTTGGACTGTTGTGAAAGATTCTCATGACAGTGTTAAGGTTGGCCCAAACATTTGGAGGATTATGGTCAAACAGTTAAAGGATTATGGCCAAACAATTGAAGGGTTATGGATGCAACTGAAATGAAAGCATTACCAAGGCGGGAATAGTCCTGCAATGTTTCAGGCCCTATCAGGGTAAGTTTCTAACCTCAATAATTTGGGACCGTTATTCAGAGCAGTGCCAACTTTTTTTTTTTTTTTAAATATATACCTTAGCAACCCTATATCATTATGTTCGTGACAAGACCTAACTGACTATACAATTATTTACAGCTGAAACAAAAAATATTATTTATGGCGGTGGCTTGATTTACAAACTTAATGTGTTCCTGACTGGTTCTAGATACCCAGTTTTTTTATTACATCTTACAGAAAATCAGTTAATCCATACAAAAAGTTTTTTTTTTTTAAAACCTAGTATTTAAAAAAAAACCAAAAAAAACCCATCTAAATTGCAAAAATGCCGAGACATGGGTCAAGAGTGAGAAGGAGCCATTATTTGAGGCCACAAAATGTTTATTATCACATGACAATTGTTTATCAAATGTTAGGTTTTACATGATACTCACGTGTGGCTGGTATGAATATCGTCTTCCATTAAATGGTTGACACCAAAAACTCATCAGTGGCTTCCTTCTGTTTCTTTGGTGAGGATGGTTTTATCAACTTTTCTTCTTCTCTTCCATTTTGTACCTCAGCAAAGTGTCGGGGAAGGTGAGACATTGGTGGATGAGCTCTGTCAAGAGCACTATTAAAATTGATGTTCATTTTTGTAAGGCTGCTTAATGCCATCACTCCATATTTTCCAAAGTCTTCCACCCGCTCTATACCTGTTGTCAAGTTTCAGTGAGACTCACTGTGGCAGATAGTACCAGGGCATTCCTGGTAGGTGTCCAAACCACTTCATTTGTTGTTCTTTGATGACCTGAAAACTGACTTTATTACTAGCATTCGTCTGATTTCATATTGTCTTTCCTTGAAACTTCTGTAGCTCTTCTAGGGCATTTCCTCTCTCCTGTCACAATCACAATTTTACGTTCATTAGAGGATGTAAGTGTCCACATTTGGCACTGATAGCATAGTGTTGGCCAAAAAATAGTTCTGATAAGATTCTTTAGTACTCCGGGGTATCTGCTTGTGTGTCAACAGGGGAGATAGTTGCCTAATTACTTGATTAGCTTTGCCACATTTTGAGCTAATTTCTCTGTCCAGTTTTCCATCAGATGTGAAAATTGCTCCTAAATACTGGAATTCCTGGGTTTGTCTAAAGGCGTTGTTTTTTTATTTTTATTTCTAAATTATCTTTCTGTCTTCCTATCCCCATTGTCTCTGTCTTCGTAGTGTATATTTTCATATTATAGTCCTCCCCTTTGTTATTAATTTGATTTAGATGCTTCTGTAGGCATTCCATACTTTCTGCTATGAGTACATGGTCGTTGGCAATTGGTAATTCTGTAATATCTTCTTTATGATTAAAAGTTGCTTTCTTACTTATAGTATTCATGTATGTTATAAAAAGAAGTGGTGTTGGTACACAGCCCTGAGGCACACTATAAAGTTCTTGACAATCCCGCCTCTGATCTTATGCAGCTATACTATGTGTGTACAGGCTTTTGCAAATATTAATGAGATGATTGCTGATTCCCCTTTTCCCTATACATTCCCACAACATATTCCTGTCCATTTTGTCGAAGGCTTTTTCCTGGTGAATGAATGTCAACAAACATAAAAACCTTTCTAATATATCAAAGTATATTAAACCATTGTGATTCATTACAGAATTTAATTTTGCAGGTATTGACATTATCTGCAAATGCGTATTGCATTATACCATTTTAATTCACCATCGTCCATTTCAACAAGTCACAGCCTTACCACCATTGAATTGCCATCTTCCAGACATAGCTGGGTCCATGTTACCTCAGATAATTATGTCCATGTTATCTCAGATATAATTGTCCATGTTATCTCAGATAACTTTGTCCATGTTATCTCAAGATATGCCTGGGTCCATGTTATCTCATAGATATGCCTGGGTCCAAGTTATCTCACAGATATGCCTGGGTCCATGTTATCTCATAGAAATGACTGGGTCCATGTTATGTCACAGATATGACTGGGTCCATGTTATCTCAAGATATGACTGGGTCCATGTTATCTCAAGATATGAGTGGGTCCATGTTATCTCAAGATATGACTGGGTCCATGTTATCTCAAGATATGACTGGGTCCATGTTATCTCATAGATATGACTGGGTCCATGTTATCTCACAGATATGACTGTGTCCATGTTATCTCAACATATGACTGGGTCCATGTTATCTCACAGATATGACTGGGTCCATGTTATCTCAAGATATGACTGGGTCCATGTTATCTCAACATATGACTGGGTCCATGTTATCTCACAGATATAATTGTGTCCATGTTATCTCACAGCTATGACTGTGTCCATGTTATCTCACAGATATGCCTGGGTCCATGTTATCTCACATCTATGACTGGGTCCATGTTATCACAGATACAACTGTCAGTGTTATCTCACAGGTACAATTGTATTGTGTGCATGGAAGCCAAACTGGAGATGGTGTCAGGCAGCTGCCAGCATCGACTGTGTTCCTGCTGCTTGTATCTGGACAACGGTTGCCTGAAACCTGACATGCATAAATGTCCAGTGTGTGGCAAATACTTAGCCTTTCCACAGAAACGGTGAGTGTTTTATAAGAGGAAATGTTCAACCATCCCGCAAAGTTCTTTTAATGTCAAAACTATGGGGGGAAATGTTTAACCTCTCACAGACAGTGTTTTATGTGTCTACACTATGTGAGAAATCAAGCTATAGTGAGATAGCTAGCTTTCAATTTATAGTGAGATTACTGGCTGCCATTTTTTAATGAGATAACTACATACTGTTATTTTGTAGTGAGATAACCAGCTACTGTATTTTTGTAATGAGATAACCAGCTACTGTATTTTTATAATGAGATAACCAGCTACTGTATTTTTGTAATGAGATAACCAGCTACTATCATTGTATATTGAAATAACCAGTTACTGTCATTTTATAATGAGGTAACCTCCTATCATTTTATAATGAGGTAACCTCCTCCTATCATTTTATAATGAGGTAACCTCCTCCAATCATTTTATAATGAGGTAACCTCCCCCTATCATTTTATAATGAGATAGCCTCATACTATTATTTAATAGTGAGATAGCCTAATACTATTATTTAATAGTGAGATAGCCTCATACTATTATTTAATAGTGAGATAACCTCCTCATCATCATCATGTAGCAGGTCCTTTGCAGAACATCGTTCTCATCACGGTCTGCCTGAAAGAAACTCGTTCTCTTGACAGCTCTCCCTCCTCATGCACTTGCATACTCAAGGAGTCACTTATATCTTCCTTGATCTTCAGATCTTTCAAGAGTGTCAGTATTTCTCCTCTTTTTCGTCTCAAGATATTCTGAGAATCTTTCTATAGCATTTCAGTTCTAAAGCCCCTTTTCTCTTTCTTAAGGACTGAGAGATAGTCCACGACCCACATCCGTATGTAGCCACAAGGAAGATGCATGCTCTCAAAATTATAATTATCTCCTTGCTGGTGCTTAACCATAGACTTTTAAGGCTGTTCAGTCTTTGCGTTGCTATAGGCCATCCTCCTTTTAATTTCTATCAAAAAGTCTCCATTGCTGTTTATTATAGAGCCTAGATATTCAAAGTTTGTGACATTTTCAATTTCTTCACCATTTATTATTATTTTTGAGTTTTATCTGTAGACATTATTTTCGTTTTCTTTAAATTCAAGAACAGATTTTGATCTTCACTGTGCTTTTGGACGGACAATATTAAATTTTCTATTTCCTTTACGCTGTTCAAAAGGAGGGCTGTGTCATCTACATAGCAAAGTTCCGGAAGGGGTTGCCACCAATTTTGAGCGGATCATAACTGTCACAAGTCTGGTCATTTTTGACATTTCTAATTATATTTTCTGCTTATATATTGAATAGGTATGGTGAGAGAATGCACCCCTGCCTCACTCCCATTTGCACCTCAAACCAATCTGATGTTTCACCAGCTGCTCTGATGGCTGTTTATTGTTCTTGATAAAGATTTTCTGTTAAATGCGCCAAGTGTTCTAGAAACCCCATACTTCTCATAATAGTCCACAGTTTGTGGTGTTGGACACAATCAAGTGCCTTGCTATAATCAATCAAACAAGCACGAAGATCTACGTTGTATTCTCTAAATGTTTCAAAAATTATTCTCATATTAAAGATTTAATCCCTAGTTCCTATACCCTGACTGAAACCCGCTTGTGCTTCATGTAGCTTATATTGTAATTTCCTTTCAATCTTCTTAATGATAATTTGTAAGAAGATTTTGCTAGCATGACTTACTAATACGATGGTACGGTAGTTGGAGCATAGTTTCAGATTTCCTTTCTTTGGGAGAGGGATATAGACTTTTTTCCCATACTTGAGGCCAAATGCCACTGTTCCAGATCTTCATGCACAGTGCATGGTAAATTCAGACGTTTGCCTCTTTTTTTTGCTTGAATTAGTTCTGCTGGTATTTCGTCATGACCTGGTGACTTTCCTTTCTTCAGGCTGCGTATTGCTGATCGTACCTCATCCAGTAAAAGCTCTGGTTCCTTTTCATAAGTTGTTTTTGAATTACTTGTCAGATCCTGATACATTTCTCTACAGTATTCTTTCTAATGTCTTTAGTTTCCGTTAAAGTGTTACCTTTGTTTTTTATCACTTACTACAGGAAAAGAAGGCCTGAATTCGCTTTTCAGTGTTTCTATTTCTCTAGACATGTCTCTGTCTCTTCCTTGCATCTGGAGTTGTTCAATTCTTTTACAGATATTCATAATAAACTGTTTCTTATCTTCTCTGAAAGCTCTTCTGATTTCTTTGGTGTAGTTCCTATATGCATGGCTTTTTGTTTCTGTCCCTACTTGCTTTAAATTTCTTCTTTCTTCTATCAGCTTGAAAGTTTTTTTCTATAATGTTAATCTGTTTCTTGTGTCCTTTTTTAGGAATCATGTTCTGAGCTGTTGTGATAATGATGTTTCTTGTTTCATCAGCCAACTCATCAGGTGTCATCCTCCTGAACTGTCATGAGTGCCTCAAATTTGTTTTTAACCTCAATGCTGTAATCATTTGGTAAATTACTTAAATCAAAACGTATTGGCTTTGTCCCATTCAACACTTTTTTCAGTTTTAGTTTAAATTCTGCACAAGAAGTTTGTGATCAGTGTCACCGTCAGCTCCAGGAAGTGTCTTTTGGAGAGGTTATAAATTTCCTCTATTTTTGTATTAAAATATAATCAATCTGGCTCCTGCTATTTCCATCTGGTGAAGTCCAGGTGTAGAGCCTTCTTGGGTGTTGTTTCAATAGTGTGTTGGTAATACATATTCTTTTCTATACAGAATTCGATCAGTCTCTCCCACCTCTTGTTTCTGTCTCCTATGCCGAATGGGCCTCTGACTATTTCCTCTTTCTCTATTCTACCTCTACCAATTTTTGCATTAAAATCCCCCATGATGATTATGATATCTCTTTTTTTTTCTACCCGTTTTAACATATCTTCTAAACTACTCTAAAAATGTTGAATAATTGTGATGTTCCTTTTCCTTGACTTAAGTCTGACAGTAAGAATTCTGTCGCTGATCGAATTATATCTAAGAAGTGATAGAAGAAACTTTTTCTTGTCATCAGAAAACCCACCACTCTCAAACCACTCTTTTCCTTTCTCTGCTGTAGCACTGCGGGCTTAAGGCCGTCGTCACAACTACCCTTACTTGCTCTGCCATCGTTCTCTTCCCCAGTTCGTGTTTGATCTGTCTGGCCTGGGGGCCTCACCATCAGATCTTTGAGTTTTATTTTTATGATAACCACCTACTGTCATTTTATAATGTGATAACTCCTACTGTCAATTTATAATGAGATAACCTCCTACTGTCATTTTATAATGAGATAACCTCCTACTGTCATTTTATAATGAGATAACCTCCTACTGTCATTTTATAATGAGATAACCTCCTACTGTCATTTAATAATGTGATAACCTCCTACTGTCATTTTATAATTTAAGTTCATCAAGATCCAGTTTCTACCTCCCAACACCACTCCGTTACTCCAGCCCATGGACCAGCAAGTTATTTCTAACTTTAGGAAGCTCTACACTAAAGCACTCTTCGAGCATTGTTTTCAGGTGACTGAAGGGACCAACCTCACTCTCAAAGAGTTTTGCAAACATCACTTCCACATCGTTGCCTGCCTCAAGATGATCGACAAGGCGGGAGAGGGGTTACCAAGAGAACCCTAACTTCTGCTTGGAAGAAGCTTTGGCCGGAGAGTGTTGTCGATTTTGTGACTTTGAGGGGTTCGAGTGTACCTGTGGAACCTGTAGTCAATGAGATTGTCTTTGACCACTATCATGGGATTGTAGGTGGATAACATTGATATCGAAGAGCACAGCCAAGAGCTGGCCACCGAAGAGCTTATAGAGTTGCATTGTGTTTCACAGCAAGAAGTTTTGGAGTAAAGTTTGTCAAAGGAGGAGGTAACAGGAAAGCAACAATCTTCTGGCTAAATAAGAGAAATGCTGAAAGCATGGGAAACTGTTGCATCTTACATTGAGAAGCATCACCCTAATAAGGAAGTGGCTGTGCTCACTGCATATTTATTTAATGATAATGCTGTGTTGCATTTTTGCCACATTTTAAAACGTCAACAAATGTCTCATGACATCTTTCTAGTAAAAAAAAATAATTAGCTATTTATCATAATTATTTCTACTTTTTTTTTCTTTGTGCAAATCGAATTCGCATTACAGGTGGGTTCATTCCGCATTTGAAGAAAAGATGATGATGGAGATTCCCTCTCCTTAACAATATGTAAATAATTTTCTTTAAATAAACGGTATACGTAGCATTTTGTGAGTATTTATTTTCGACATGGAACGCATTATCATATTTTACATTAATTTATAACATTTTTTTTTTCGCTCAACGGGTATGATTCTGAATATAACCACATAGTGTCATCTTGTCTGATGTGACATCATATCTCATATTATCTGATGTGACATATCTTGTCTCTGGCATGACAACATATCACATCTTGTCTGGCGTGACCTCAAATCTCCTCTTGTGTGGCGTGACCTCAAATCTCCTCTTGTCTGGCGTGACCTCATATTCTCCTCTTGTCTGGCGCTGCATCATATCCTATCTTGTCTGGCACTACATCATATCCTATCTTGTCTGGCACTACATCATATCCTGTCTTGTCTGGCACTACATCATATCCTATCTTGTCTGGCACTACATCATATCCTATCTTGTCTGGCACTGCATCATATCCTATCTTGCCTGGCACTACATCATATCCTATCTTGTCTGGCGCTGCATCATATCCTATCTTGTCTGGCACTACATCATATCCTATCTTGTCTGGCGCTACATCATATCCTATCTTGTCTGGCGCTACATCATATCATGTCTTGTCTGGCACTACATCATATCCTGTCTTGTCTGGCGCTGCATCATATCCTATCTTGTCTGGCACTACATCATATCCTATCTTGTCTGGCGCTGCATCATATCCTATCTTGTCTGGCACTACATCATATCCTATCTTGTCTGGCGCTGCATCATATCCTATCTTGTCTGGCACTACATCATATCCTGTCTTGTCTGGCACTGCATCATATCCTGTCTTGTCTGGCGCTGCATCATATCCTATCTTGTCTGGCACTACATCATATCCTATCTTGTCTGGCGCTGCATCATATCCTATCTTGTCTGGCACTACATCATATCCTATCTTGTCTGGCGCTGCATCATATCCTATCTTGTCTGGCACTACATCATATCCTGTCTTGTCTGGCACTGCATCATATCCTGTCTTGTCTGGCGCTACATCATATCCTATCTTGTCTGGCGCTGCATCATATCCTATCTTGTCTGGCACTACATCATATCCTATCTTGTCTGGCGCTGCATCATATCCTATCTTGTCTGGCACTACATCATGTCTTGTCTGGCGCTACATCATATCCTGTCTTGTCTGGCGCTACATCATATCCTGTCTTGTCTGGCGCTGCATCATATCCTGTCTTGTCTGGCACTACATCATATCCTATCTTGTCTGGCACTACATCATATCCTATCTTGTTTGGCACTACATCATATCCTATCTTGTTTGGCACTACATCATATCCTATCTTGTCTGGCACTACATCATATCCTATCTTGTCTGGCACTACATCATATCCTGTCTTGTCTGGCACTACATCATATCCTATCTTGTCTGGCACTACATCATATCCTGTCTTGTCTGGCACTACATCATATCCTGTCTTGTCTGGCACTACATCATATCCTATCTTGTCTGGCACTACATCATATCCTATCTTGTCTGGCACTACATCATGTCTTGTCTGGCGCTACATCATATCCTGTCTTGTCTGGCGCTACATCATATCCTATCTTGTGGCGCGGTGATTTATGTCACAGGCGTGAGGGGAAGTTAAGTCCAACATGATGTGTATAAGGAGATACTCCGTACGTCACTTGGGCGCCAGTCCTTCACTATCCTGGTTATACGGAACCTCATGCAAGACCCCTGCAGCACGTCCTCGTCGTGCGCCACGGATAATGTCTCAAATGAGCATAAACAGAGCTGTCAGGGGATCTCGGAGTTCGGCGGCCCCCAGAGGTGATGTGTCCTTGTGGCTCTCATCAGCCCGCCCCCAAACGCTTGGGTGAAAAAAGTTATCAAAACTCATTAGGAACATGAGCAGGTTCGCCAAACGTACAGCCAAAATTACAACCCTTGGTTAAAAGACTGCGGAGTAAAGAGATCATTGCTCACTGCACATCCTCGGTTAACCCTCAGTGTCGTCGTCACCGCGCTGAGGTACACCACAACAGCAACCATCCATAGGCTGGCCATACATGTACATCCTCGGTTAACCCTCAGTGTCGTCGTCACCGCGCTAAGGTACACCACAACAGCAACCATCCATCAGATGGCTAAGCCTAAATGTCCGACAAAACTGGATCATACGGATCAAAATCTGACCATCACAATTTGTATTGAACGGAAAAAGACCAAATGCCCACACCCAAAGACCCCACTCGCCCGAGTGTTGGGACAAAACTCATAACGATATGCCTGACGCAGGATGTAAAATTCTATCGGGCTAACGACTCGTCAAAGAAATCTAACGTGCGAAGAAAAAAAAAAGAATGTACCTACTGTGTGGTCACAAAAGTCCAAAACTTACGGGCTGCTCCCCGCTGACTTCCAGAGGGAGCAGCCCCTGTCGAGCGGGAGGCCTGATACGGTTGTGAGGTTAAGCAGGCATGTGCAGGACGTGACGATTCCTTGGGTGAGCCCAGAACCAGAGCGCCATGTGCCGGCTCTGCATAAATGGAAGCCTCCTTGGATGGCGGGGAATGCCCATGATCTGCCCCTGCCTTCCCTTGAGGGCTAACTGTTCCACAGAGGGCTGCCCCAAAGGGATGCTCAGGGGGCAATACCTGCGGAGAAGTGGACACCACACAAATCAGGCAACGTCTTGACCCACACAAAACAATGGCCACAGTCACCCTAGAAATAGGCCTGACGTCCTCCCTCGAAGTCGGAGTACAGCTGCCCATGAGGCAGGGAAATGAAAAACGGTTGTACGCGCAAAAATCAGGTCCAGGTGAAAGCCAAAAGTCCAAGCGGACGATTAACCGGGACCTTCCACTGGAATTCACAGCCAGTGTTCGATATAATAATAATATACTATCTTGTCTGGCACTACATCATATCCTATCTTGTCTGGCACTACATCATATCCTGTCTTGTCTGGCGCTGCATCATATCCTATCTTGTCTGGCACTACATCATATCCTATCTTGTCTGGCGCTACATCATATCCTATCTTGTCTGGCACTACATCATATCCTATCTTGTCTGGCACTACATCATATCCTATCTTGTCTGCCACTACATCATATCCTATCTTGTCTGGCACTACATCATATCCTATCTTGTCTGCCACTACATCATATCCTATCTTGTCTGGCGCTGCATCATATCCTATCTTGTCTGGCACTACCTCATATCCTATCTTGTCTGGCGTGACCTCATATCCTATCTTGTCTGGCACTACATCATATCCTATCTTGTCTGGCACTACATCATATCCTATCTTGTCTGGCGCTGCATCATATCCTATCTTGTCTGGCACTACATCATATCCTATCTTGTCTGGCACTACATCATATCGTATCTTGTCTGGCACTCTCATATCCTATCTTGTCTAGCACTACATCATATCCTATCTTGTCTGTAGGCCCACTATTCCTGAGGACCTTATTGAGATGCAAAGATACCTGGGTGTAAAGGAGTGTCCAAACAAAGATAGAGGTTGCAAGTTCCAGATGTGGGACTGGGAGTTGGATGATCACTGCAGGTAGCTTTTGTCAGTGCATATCTCATTGTGTAGTTGTATGCATATCTCATTGTGTGCTTGTATGCATGTGTCATTGTGTGGTTGTATGCAGGTGTCATTGTGTGGTTGTATGCATATCTCATTGTGTGATTGTATGCATATCTCATTGTGTGGTTGTATGCATATCTCATTGTGTGATTGTATGCATATCTCATTGTGTGGTTGTATGCATATCTCATTGTGTATTTGTATGCATATCTCATTGTGTGGTTGTATGCATGTGTCATTGTGTGGGTGTATGCATATCTCATTGTGTGGTTGTATGCATGTGTCATTGTGTGGTTGTATGCATGTGTCATTGTGTGGTTGTATGCATATCTCATTGTGTGGTTGTATGCATGTGTCATTGTGTGGTTGTATGCATATCTCATTGTGTGGTTGTATGCATGTGTTATTGTGTGGGTGTATGCATATCTCATTGTGTGGTTGTATGCATATCTCATTGTGTGGTTGTATGCATATCTCATTGTGTGGTTGTATGCATGTGTCATTGTGTGGTTGTATGCATGTGTGGTTGTATGCATATCTCATTGTGTGGTTGTATGCATATGTCATTGTGTGGTTGTATGCATGTGTCATTGTGTGGTTGTATGCATGTGTCATTGTGTGGTTGTATGCATAAGTAATCGTCTGGTTGTATGCACGGCTTGGGTACGTTTGCTTGTACACACCTGCCGGTTTATGGTGTGATTTGAGCTTGCACATATTTGTGTGTTGTACACATTCTGTGTTTTATAGATGTCTGCACATTTGTACATATTGATTTAAAAAAAAATGTTTCTGTGTGTGTGTTTACATGGCTGCTAAAGAATAAATATTTGATTGTGATAGGCTGCTGTAGAATAAATATTTGATTGAGATAGGTCGCTGTAGAATAAATATTTGATTGAAATAAGCTGCTAAAGAATAAATATTTGATTAAAATAAGCTGCTGTTGACCAACTGTTGAATGAATATTTGATAGAGGTAGGCTGTTGACCAACTGTTGAATAAATACTTGATTGATGTAGGCTACCGTTGACCAACTGTTGAATGAATACTTGGTTGATGTAGGCTATCGTTGACCAACTGTTGAATGAATACTTGATTGATGTAGGCTACCGTTGACCAACTGTTGAATGAATACTTGATTGATGTAGGCTACCGTTGACCAACTGTTGAATGAATACTTGGTTGATGTAGGCTATCGTTGACCAACTGTTGAATGAATACTTGATTGATGTAGGCTACCGTTAACCAACTGTTGAATGAATACTTGATTGATGTAGGCTACCATTGACCAACTGTTGAATGAATACTTTATTAATGTAAGCTACTGTTGACCAACTGTTGAATGAATACTTGATTGATGGAGCCTCCTTTTTCGCTGATTGACTGAGATACTTTGCTGTAAAATGAACACTTGATTGAGATTGACTGTGGGTACAAGAGGTAACCATCACTGATACCTTGTTTCTTTCCTCAGCATGTGCCAGTTTGGGAAGCCTCCCACACCTTATGTGCGCAGATGCAGAAAACTGAGTCCAATGAGCAAACTGGGGGTCACCTATGAAACTAGATCCAAGAGGAGGAGCACTGAGGGCAACAAGCCACAGCAGTCGACTGGCACGCGGAGATCTTCCCGATATCTTCGCTCGTAGCTTATTTGGGGGGTGGGGGCAGCCAGTGTGTGGGTGCTAAGTATGTGTGGACAGTAGGGGGGGGGTATTTATTTGTGTACTGTGAAAATGGGGGTAGTGTGTGAGGAACAGTTGTTTGGTGGGAGTCTGCTGAGTGGACACTTGATATAATTATGCTCTTGCAAGCCTTGTTGATTTTTCTCAGTGCCAAGAAGTGTGTGCAGCTGTTTGTGTGTGTGTGTACACCATCTGTTACAGTGTGTCCACGTGTGTGTCTTGTGTGTGTACACCATCTATTACAGTGTGTCCATGTGTAAGTGTGTCCGCCTGTTTGTTCAAATATTGAAATGTGATATCCCTGTTTGAGATGATATTTTTGTGGGCAATTAAGGTTACATGTTTTTCATTCTGGGTCCTAAATCTTGCCTTGATTATTTGAGAATGTAAGTGACAGAACTGTCATTGTCTAGCTGGTAGGTTGAAACATGCTCCCTTGTAGACTGGCAGTGTGTGACTGTGGCAGTGTGTGACTGTTGGGTCAGAACATGTTCCTTGCACAGCCTTGTTCACTTTCCGCAAAGCACAGTGGTTGCCATGCTTGATATAGATTTACAAACTGTTAGACTGGACAACTCATCAATCTTGTTGCCATACATGAAATAGTTGAACAACTCATCACACTTGTTGCCATACATGAAATAGTTTGATAACTCATCACACTTGTTGCCATACATAACAATAGTTGGACAGCTTATTACATTACATTGTTGTACACAAAGTGCTCACAGACTCTGCATGGAACTTGCCTGTCTCCATCTTTCTCATATTCTTTATGAATCTATTAAACCAAGTGTGTATGCAGCTTATTCTCAAGCTAGTGGGAAGCAACTTTGACTGCCTCTACCTCCATTCTTGAACTAAATATGGTGCTATCAAATGCTTGTGTTTGTTGAACTAAGTAGTAGCCATTGACTAGTTTCAGTGTTGTGTAACAAAGTCAACACGCAGTATGAGGCAGTTAGGTAGCTGCTTCCATTCAATGTGGGAAGTGTTTGATTCGTTGAGGGCATTGATATCAGGTGCGGTGTGCAGCATGAATAAAATTAAGTCAAATTGGGGGGGGGGGGTAGAAGAAAAACTATAATTTTTTGTTATTGTTTCAATGTTGTGTAACAGATTAAAAACTTAGTATTTACTTCATTGTTTAAATAACTCCAGAAATTTATTAAAAAAACAGCAGTATTTGGGGGGGGGGGGGGTGTAGATCACTTCAGCCCTGTGTGTGTGGACTTCTAGTATTATCCCCTAGTCTCTGGGTAGTGAGATCAGATGCCCGTGTGTATTGTTGCACATGAAAAAAGTCCCTTGGCAGTTGGAAATTGAAAAGAGTAGCCTAACAGCGCTGCCTGGACTAAATCTGGAGTTACAAATCTATCCAAAGTATTTCATGATCCTCGTCGGTGCTACGGAGTTTGTGCACTGTGCTGAGATTGTTCAGACTCAGACTTGAGGGAGAAGTAGAACGGAGCACTTATGGGTTACTACCCTTGTGCCATGATGTTGATAAACCTCAAACCTCAGTGTATTCCTGGATAAGAGACTTCTTGTACCAGCCAGTGGCTAGAATTACCATTGAGCTGGAAAGGCTGCGCAGTGTCTTTAATACGAATTTCACTGACTAAAAAGAAAATCAAGAAGTTGTGTTTAAAAAATGTATGCTAACTGAAGACTCAGATAAATAGATGCTGCAGGAACTAACATTGTACTGATGTCGACTGGGTGGTCTTGAACGTGTTCAGTGTTTACAGTCTGCTGTGTTCATTCTGTCTGTGTGTGATGTAAATGTTGCTGTTGTACATTTTGAGATGTTCTATTTACAACATATTCTTGATGATCTTGTGATCAGTGGAGACTATCATCACAGCATTCCAGATTCATTGTTGCTCCAGTCTCCTCTAGAATTGCTGATTCCATCCCTTCTGCATTGAATAAAATCAAGTATTGTGCAGATCACTGTAATTGTCTTTCCTGTCTATACCTCGTGTGTGGTACTGATGACATGCCAGCACCACAGCAGTTATAACAGCCTCATTGTCTGCCAGATAATCAGCAGGCTTATTGCCGTCAACACCTGCATGGCCCGGCACAAGGCTGCTGGTTAGACGAGCCGGTTGTGAAGAGACAAAGCATTCTTGTCTGATGAAGCCGCCTGGGGTAGAGCTTAGAATTTTTTGGTTTGCTCCGCTGGTGGGACTATGTTGTAAGATCTAGAGATGGAAAAAAACAAGAAAATTTGTCACTGCATCTTTCTGTCTGTTCATATTTTAAGGAAAAATTGATGTAAAGAGTGCAGGTCGAAGGCAATGAGATATATAACTTGATGGCTTGACCACGTGCGATTGGACGGACTGTAGCGCTGTGCTGATCTGTGAAACTACTGATCGCATATGATGGGAATCATGACTGCCTTAGTTTATCGGTACCACAGAGTTGAACACAGCGTGGTAGTACAGTTTTGGGAAACACTGATCTAGGGCTCCATACGCGAGGGGCTCGCAGCGGTGAGTCTGAAACAGTCAGCAGTCAAAAACTGCCAATTACTGCCTTAATTTTACCACTTTTGAGGTGTAGGTAGGGCCGTCTTTGAGCTAAAGGATGTATGGCCAGTGCTGTCGCCACTACGGCGCAGGTAAGGTTTTGATTTTGCCCCAACAGAAAAAATCCCTAAGCCTTACCGAGGACTTAATTGAGCCTAGGTCTGCCGCTTGAGAGCCTAGTGTTGTAACCATTCGGACAGCGCTCCACACAGTCAGCTTGTATCGCATACTTAATTTTGGGGTCTCTCTTGTTGATCCTGGGGTAATGCTGATTTGGGTGAAGGGACAGTGGTATGCCAGTACTTTATGTAAGTTCACGGGGGGGGGGGGGGGGAGGAGAATAGTGTCAACATGGTCCGAGTATTGAGAGTAGACCAGTGAGAATGTCTATTTATTAACAAGGCGTGCACGCACGAGAGAAAGTGGACGCGTGGGTTACTATGTGGGGGCTGAAAACATGGCTAATGAGATAAATGAATTGACAGCGTGATCCTCATGTAACATCAGCCACCCGCATAAGTGTGATCCTCGAGAACGCCCACATGAGCGTGAGTCGAGAACACCCACAGAATCATGATTCACGAGAACGCCCATACGGACGTGCCTTTCGTGTAGACAACATCCACCTACACGGATTTGAGGGGGATAAATTGGAGGGCTGAGTAGCCACTCGAAGGCAATCGAGAAGCGGTCGCGCGAGAAGAGAGAAATCGAGAGTCAGAGACCAAGTCAGGGTCCGTATTGGTCCCGCTGGCAAAGTCAGTCCAGGGGACGGAAGGCTCCAGTAGTACCTGTTCTGGGTGGCGACGTAGGAGGACCACTACTGAAACAGAACAGAGGGAAGTGGTACCGACGAGAGCTGTATGCTAGAGGGAACTTACGGTCGAAGTCCTGTGACAAGCTGACGACAGCTGTGTGTTTTCGGAGTACGGCCAGAAAAGTCCGTCTCCAGTCAGCCGTGTTATGTGCTGAAATAATATCAAGGTCTAAGGAATGGGAGAATTCGCCCTGTTCAGCTGTACGGCGCATCCAGAGTGTGGGACGCTGTTTAGTCCTTGGAGCTGTAGTAGTCAAGGAGAGGCCGCTACAAACAGAGAGAGCGAGTGAGGACAAATGTGCGAATGTCAACTGTGATCAATAACTACGTCTCTGCATTTGTGTCCTGTATACTGTTAAATAAACATGTATGACGGTGTCATCGTCGTCGAGTTCTATTTCTAAGAGAGGAAGCTTAAGGATACCTACTAGACACTTGGTAGTGTGCTGACTAGTAGTAACTCATTTAGCACACAACAGGTAACCTTATTCTGTATGTTTTCAAGTGTCTGTCAACAGCTGTCTTAGACAAGGTCAGCAGTCCATAATCCCTCGTTGTTCTTCCATCATGAGTTATGAAGACGTTTTCATCCAAAGTAATAATGAGTATGGGTACAAAAGTGGCTGATTAGTTCAATATGGGCCTGAAAAGTTCTGGAGCAATGTGGACGACTGGTTAAAGCTGCAATATGTGTGAGATTAGCGATACGGGTCTTTCTAGTATAATTTGGTTTCTTTGCCTGTGCAACTTCCGCTGCCTGGTTAGGCTGATGCACCATGCCTGAGGGATGTATGCAATCCAGAACAGTAATGTACAGCACCCTCCCATGTCGCTGTGTTGATGCCAAAAGAATTGAGAGCAGTTTTTAGAGTGACCTTATAGTGCTTTTTCTGTCCTCAATCCGACCTCTTCCCTTGCTGGAGCTCGCAATAGAATACGGCTGATAATTCTTCAGTGTCTTGTGAATGCTAGGCAGGTTTGCCCTTCAAAAACCACAGTGTTTGGGATCCTTTCTTGTCATTTGATTTTGAGCATAGCGATGACACACAGTCCACGTTTCGCAAGCGCAGAGCAGTACTGGAAGAATTACAGCTCTGTAAACCTTTAGCTTGGTCAGACAGGAGACTTCTATTCCAAAAACTGGTAAAAAGGCTACAGAAACTGATGCTTGCCTTTGAGATTCTAACATTGATCTTGTCAGTGTTAACTTTCTGAGGTATGATACTGCCAGGATAAGTGAATTTATCGACTATATTTAGCTTTTGATTATTTACGGCTCGCCGGCTCACACAGTATCTAATGACTAACAAGTACATAGATACTAGTGTTCAGAAGGGTGGTATTCAGGCGTTCCTGGGTGCCTTGAACACGCGACCATGATTTGGGAGGCTATCCAGAGAGCCAAGCATGAGAGAACCGAATTGCACGTTATATGATTGGACTTAGCCAACGCCTACGGGGCAGTCCCCCATAGGCTACTGTGGCGAGCCCTTCGCATGTTTCACGTACCGGCACAGATCAATCAAATGATCGAGCAATATTTATCTGTTCGCTTTGCGCTTCTCTACCTCGACGTTTACCACGAGGTGGACTGAGTTGCAGATTGG